TTTGTATATTGTAGCTTCCTAATTTGTTCCTCCTGATCTAAGATGTTCATTTCATGCTTAGCTAGTGCCAGCTCATTTCCAATTAGCTCATCTCCCGGGGTTTCCATTTGTCTATTTTCCAAATCTTCTATTTTTTTTTATTAAGGTATTTAGTTTTTCCCATCTTTTTATTTCTATTTACTGTATATGCTATAGATATTCCCCTTAAATATGCCTTCGTTGTGTCCCAGAGATTCTGCAATGAGGTATCCTGTTTTTTATTGAATTTGAAGAAGCCAATTAATTCTTCCCTAATTTTTTGGATGTGGCTTTTTTCTTTCAGTAATTGCAAATTAAGTGTCCATCTGCTTTTCTTGTGGGTTCGATCTTTCCAAGTTATCTGTAGCGGGTTGTGGTCTGCCCAGACATTAGTTAAAATCTTTATATCCTGAATCTCCTTAAATAAATCACTGTTTACCCATGCCATATCTAATCTAGACCATGATTTATGCAGGTTGGAGTGGAAAGTGAACTGAGTCACCCTGGGTTCAACTTCCTCCACGCATCCACTATTACTAATTCTTCGGCCATCTCAAAAAATCTCTTGGGCAATGTATTCCTTTTTTTTTTTTTTTTTTTGATGTTTTTGTTCACAAGCATAGTCTTGATTGTTATTTGTAATTGCATTGTAATCTCCAAATATACAAATTCTTGGGTTGCCAATTTCTATCAATTTTTCATATAGGAGTTTATAAAATTCATTCTGATTTTTATTAGGGGTGTATATCCCCACTAATAGCGTGTTTTTATTTTGTATGACCACCTCTACCATTAATATTGTCCCCATTGTATCATTATAGATCAATTTTGAAGTTATTTCCTCTTTAATGTATAGCACGACTCCTCTTTTTTTTCTTCTGCAATGTTGTATATATTTTCCCCAATTTTTTATTTTGTAGGTATCTCTGATCCTGTATTTTAATGTGAACCTCTTGGAGACAAATTAGCTCTCTGATTCTCTAATTTAAAAAATATTCTCTTCCTCTTAGATGGGTCATTTAATCCATTGATATTCATAGATATTAATTTTATTCCTCTTTCCATTTACCCTCTAACTTCTGTCCCTCATTGGTTCTAGTCATTGTTTGACTCCTAGTTCTCACTCCTATCTCTTCTTGGGCGGCTATTTCTTCCCCTCTTTCCTTCTCTTTCTCTCTCTCCCTCCCTCTAATTTTAGGTTGTGATTCTTTTTGGCTTGAAGTCTCAGCTTCGTCTCTGCTACTCAGTTCCTCTTCTATTCCCCCTATTTGTTCGAAAAAGTCTTGTGACTTGGTTAAATTGTCTATTTTCACTCTCTTCTCCTTCCATGTTGCTAGGATACCCTCAGGAGTGATCCATCTAAAAGAAATACTTTTTTTATTAAGATAGTTAGTGAGGAATCGGTAGTCCTTCCTCTGCTCACGGACTCTTCTTGGCACCTGTTTGAGCACAATTACTTCTCTACCTTTATAGTAGGAAACTAGATCACTGCCGCCACTTTCCACCTTCACCCCTTTCACTCTGGATTTCAATAATACAAACAATTCGTCTTCAAACAATACTCCAGTTATAATCTGAAAAGTGTTTTTAGTACTGATATCTTGCCCAATCTCAGTTCGCTATCTCCTTGCTGCTTCCTTCCTTAATGGCTCGCCGCATCCTTGGATCTGCCCACGACAGGCTGACTTCTTTAACCCCAGAATTCGGGCTTTCTTCTTTGCCGCTTCGGGATTGCAACTCCTGATTAGACTCCAAGAGTCTCTCTTCCCTTTTGGTGATCATTCCAGGATCAAACCGCACCATGAGCGGCTATCCGAAGGCAAAAAACCTGATGCAGGAGAACAGAGTGAAGTTCTCCTGCACCACCACAACGCGACGTCACTGGAAGTGTCTCATCAGTACAATCCATTCTTTCATCCCTGTTAACTCCGCGGATTGGTAATATAGTTCCCAATTGGTTAGTCCAAACCGTCCACTAGTTCTTATATCCTGCAGCATTTTTAAATTAATTCTTGCTTTTTTTCCTTGCCATATATATTTTAGTATTATTCTATTAAGGTCCTCAAAATATTTTTCTCCAATTTTATCGGAATTGTTTGAAACAGATACAATAGTCTAGGCAATATATTCATTTTAATTATTGCTATTAGTGATAATTGCAATTTTTTCCATTTTTCCAGATCTATCTTAATTTGTTGTTTCAGTTTATAATATGGACAGGTTACCAGCAGAGTTATATAAAACCTTACAGAATTCTTTTAGTGACACAATGTTGGAAGTATTTAATGAACTATTGATAGAGGTGAAAGTACCAAACTCATGGATGGAAGCATACATTACTCTCATACCGAAACAATATTCTGATTTACATCAGATAAAAAATTATAGGCCAATATCTTTATTGAATGCAGACTATAAAATATTTGCCTCAGTAATAGCAGAAAGACTAAAGAGATTTCTAAATCAATGTATACATTCAGATCAAAATGGCCTTTTATCTAAGAGACAAATAAAAGACAATATGAGAATAATTTTGAACACTTTGGAATACTATGAAACACACCCAGAGAAGCAAATGGTGTTATCTTCTTAGATGCACGGGAGGCATTTGACAATGTGAACTGGCAGTTTATGCTAGCACAATAGAAAGAAATGGACTTTGGGGAAAGATTTATTAAGATGATTAAGGCATTATATTATAAACAAACCGAAAGGTGATGGTAAATGGAGAAATGACTAAAAAGGTCAATATTAAAGGAACAAGACAAGGATGTCTCTTGTCGCCATTGCTATTTGTACTGACTTTAGAAGTATTAAACAGAAATATTAGACAAGATAAGAAGAAAAAGGGAAATAAAAAAGGAAAAATACAAACTACAGACATTTGCAAATGATTTGGTTTTTATACTAGAAGAACCATTAGAAACAGGATCTCAACTGCCTCTGGTCTCTTGGTCTCCCACCTGGAAAAAGCAGCCAGGACTCACAGTTTGGAGTAATCGTCACTTTATTCCAGAAACTAAAACAATGCAACAGCGAGAAAGGACTTTTCCAAATAAAGCCAGCTCTGAGAGCCACTGCCTCTCAGCACTTTACATACCCTAGTTCCACCCCTCCCACTCTTCTCCCATGGGCTGTTCAGAGCATCCAGTAGTCGTGGGAGGTGCTTCAGTCTCTGCATATCTAGGCTGGGCTTAACCTGTGGAACGCTCCTCCTCCTCCACGGGACTCCTCCCCAGCATTCCCCAGTTTTGGCTCAGCCTCGTTGTGGATAGGCAGTGTTTTTTGTTCTTCCTTGGCCGACACAGGAGTATTACTCAGCAGGTTTGGATGTAGTCCAGTTCATTTTTTTCAGGCTTTTAGCCTCCAAATCACATTACGATCTCCTGACATTAGCTCTCTCCATCTGGTCATCGGAGATCATTTTCTGGCAGTGCTGTTTCACGCCCGAAGCAGCGGGCGGCTTCGGCATTGCTCTGAGCCCCCCCTCATCTGCTTGTTCTACCCCTTGCCATTGTGATTCCGCATTGCCTTTCCCTATATCGGCAATAGCGGCGTGGGCGTTTTCGCTCTCATCCGAGTCATATCATTTGATTTTTCCCCTCAGAACACCATCTTGGTGTGGAAAGCAGTAAGAATTCTTTCCACCCTTTCCCCACCATTCCTTTTAGCCACAAGGAGAAGCCGTAGGAGGCATTTCCCCACGCGGCGGGAGTTTCTTGCGGGGAAGCGCGCTCGCGCCAAAATTAACAGCCATTGTTTTTGCCTTTGTTTTTCAAAACTGTGTGGTCGCGCTATTTGTAACTCGAGCTGTGTGAGGTAGTTTTCCTTCCCGATCAGAGGTTTTTCCTTCTGATAACCTAAGGAATTATTACACCTCGTTTTCTTATTAGATTTGAGGCCATCCGTGTATTATTGTTGGCTCAGGGTTGACATGGGAGTAAGGTGGATGATGAATGGCCCCTCCCATAAGGATTAAAAGAAGAGCAAAAGGAGAGGAGGCTTTTGCAGGAAACAATTTGTTCGTTCCTGCCTCATGAAGATCTGTCTATGTAACCTAGAGACTCTTCCCTGTCAGCACTGCATGTGGAAATATTTACCGGGCAGCTTTAAGATAGATAAGGTCTGAGCTAATAATTATACCTTTGCAAGACTGTTTGCCTGGCTGTTGGCTGAATGTGAATGCAATAAATTCACATTCATTTAATAAAAGAGGTTTTGCCGGGACACAGAGTTTGCTTAGTACTTTTTGGGGAAGCCTAGGACAGAACAGTATTGAAGAGGTGAGAAGTAGGCATAGACCTATTCTGGGAAAAGCTAGTGGACAAAAAGTCATTTTATTTTAAACAATATAGTCAAAAGATGAACAGAGGTAGATGCAACCATTTCATATTGATTGATCAGTACCTACATGATAATAACACAGTTGAAAATCAGCCTCAAATATAAAATCTATCAAGAGCATTAATTAAGCCTATAATGTATGCAAAAAAGCAACCAATGACAAGCCTTATGCCCATAGGAGGTGCAGATTGACATAAAAACAACTAATAACAAGTCTTACACCCATGGGAGGCATAGATTGACATAAAGCTGCTTCTGCATGCATAAGTGGTTAATGGCAACCTCAGCAAAACACAGGAAGCGAGAGTTCCTGTGGTGCAGTAAAACTTTAAACACAGAGTTTGGATCCACCTGGTGGCGCGTAGGTAGTAAGTATCTCTCAATGGCTGAAGAAGGCATTTTATGGCCATGATTTGCTGCTCTTGTTGGATTACACAAGGCTGTCTGGACCCATTTCAGAAGATGCGCCTTTATTCTGAAAGACAAACACCTATCAGTTCTGCTGATGTAATTGTCTCTACAATTAAAAATAAATCATTTTATTTTGTTGAAGTATGTCCTGGCAATAGAGTGATACTACTCTTTAAATATAGTGTTATGTCAATTCTGTTTTTCTTTTTTTTCTTTTGGGATTCCAGTGAAATGAAACAGAAGCTTGATGAAGAGGGAAACAAGTGCAGCATCCTTTCTAAACACGGAAGATTTAATGAGCATTGTTGCATGCGTTGCTGCTCCCCATTTACTTTTCTCATCAATCCTAAACGACAGTGTCAAGACTGCAAATACAACATCTGCAAGAGCTGCAGTTCTTATCAGAGAAAAGAGAAAGCTTGGCTCTGCAACATGTGTCAGCAAGCTAGGTGAGTTTTTATTGTGACATGTTGCCTTCTGACTTCTTTTTCCCACTATTAAGCCATTAAGTCTAATGTCACATGAAAAGACGCATTCAGTATTCCAGAAATTTCTTATGGCACTGTTGGTTATTGATTCTTTGGAAAATCATATAAATTATTCAGAAGATTTTGCTTTCTTCATGAAGGAAATTGTTTATTTAATTGTGTTTTATTTTCAAGATGGTTTGATGAGATGATAACTCTGTGTCTTGACAGACTTCAACACTGGGCTCTATAACAAAATGAAATTCAATGGTAAAAAAAGTAAGGTTCTAATTTAGGCAAGAAAAACAAAATGCACAGGTACAGTATATGTGGTACCTTGCTCAATAGTAGTAACTGTGAGAGGGATCTTGGAGTCCTAATGGACAATCATTTAAATATGAGCCAGCAGTGTGCTACAGCTGCCAAAAAAGTCAAGTTCTAGGCTGTATAAACAGAGGGATAGAATCAAAATCACGTGCAGTGTTAATACCATTTTAATGCCTTGAAGACCACGCGTGGAATACTGCATCCAATTTTGGTCGCCATGATGTAAAAAAGAAGTTGAGACTCTAGAAAGAATGCAGAGAAGAACAACAAAGATGATTAGGGGATTAAAACATAAGACATTAGAGGTTAAAACATAAAGAACAGTTGCTGGAATTGCATATGTCTAGTTTGACGAAAAGGACTAGAGGTGAAATGATAGCAGTGTTCCAATATCTTAGCGGCTGCAGAAAGAAGAGGGAATCAAGCTATTCTCCAAAGCACCTGAGGGCAGGACAAGAAGCAATGGGTGGAAACTAATCAAGGAGAGAAGCAACCTAGAACTAAGGAGAAATTTCCCTACAGTTAGAACAATTAATCAATAGAACAATTTGCCTCCAGAAGTTGTGAATACTGCAATACTGGACACTCATATCTTTATCTTTGAACAATCCCATCATCTCCTTATGATTCTTTGTCACATTTTCATAAACGCTATTAAGTGTCACTAACATTTCTTCATACATCTTCATTGTCTCCTGTTGAGTCATTTTATAGTAGTTTAATATATTAAAATTTACTCAATATACCGCTAAGATTCCAGTGTCCCAATATCTAAAAACTCCAAAGAAATTTAGTCAGTCCCAGAATTATACTTCCAAATCCCCTATATTTATAGTCCTTAAAAGCTATACATTGTTGATTTATAATCTTTTTAATTTCCCAGTTTATGCCTTCCCAATTGTCTGAATGTTAAAGTCTTATTTATCTTTTTCTTTTCTTCTTCTTTTTCTCTCTCTCTCTCTTTTTCTATTGCCTTTCTTCTTTTGCCTTTAAGGATGTTCTATCAAGTAGCATCAGTAATCCAAATTGGTCCACCAGTTTCCTCAAGTCTTTCAAGTCCACCTTTCCTTAAACAGTTTCAATAGGGTTTTAGGTATTTGCTATTCAATTTGGCTTGAAGATTTCCAAATAGCTCAGGAGATATTTCCAGACATCCAAATCGCCTACTGAAATAGAATCAAGGTCAAGTGGCCTTCCAGATGTTATTTTTTTTCTCTCCTTTCTTTTGTATATATTAAACAATTGAGTTCTCACATTGCAGTAATCTTTTTCCTCCAGTAGGTGGCTCCCCTATTCCAGATCCAGCATTAAACAGTGTGCAAAAACCAAACAGCAGAATGTCAACTGATCAGGAGGGGTTAGCAATAAAGATTAACAAAGCAATTTCTCCCTATAATCAGTTTTCAAGATGTTGTTAGATCTTTTCCAGGCTTTCTGTGTCTTAAATCATTTAGTTATTTCTTTCACATCTGAGTCTTTAATCTTTCTCCGCGTATCCAGTCGCCACTTACGTAAAGTTTGGAGATTATTTTTTTAAAATATTTTATTTGAATTAAAATTCTAAAATAAAGGTTAGAAGTTATCTCACCCAGTTTCAATGCTCTGTCCACAAATCACTCCAGCACAAATCTTAGTGTCTTGGTTGTCCCAGCTTGTGACAGGCGAAAATGGTCGTCATCCCTGCTGCTGTTCAGAAGAGCTTTATTTGGATCAATGAGGAAATTGCAGTTTCCTCGTGGTCGACAAAGCACCTCTCCTTCACCACCCCTCCAGGGTGGCTTTGAGTTCGTAGAGTCTCTCGGCAAGTAGTTACCTGCTGATTTTCACGGAACCTGGCAGAGCTCCGCTAATTCTCCAGCTGTTCCCAGCGTGACATCAACCAGAAGCATGGGCCGCAAGTGTATTATCTTTTTTAAAAATTTATTTTTAATTTTAATTATGAGAATACAACACAATACATCCAACTTATCCTTGTTATGCATATATACATTTTACTTCATCATGAATAATCTCCTTATTTAATATATTAATTACTAATTAATCTAATCATAATTACTAATATTTTGACCTTGTCTTCTACTATATAATCATTGATAAAATTTATTCCATGTTTTATAATATTTTGACTCTCTTTGTCTTTTATTTCTAAAGTTAACCTATCTGATTCTGCACATGCCATAATTTTTCTTATTATTTCTGTTTCTGGAAGTATGATTTCATTTTTCCAATTGTAAGGTTTTTTGAGTGCAGCTCAGAATCTAATAAATCCAATGAAACTCTGAACACGAGGCTACTGATAATCAGTTTTATTTTCTGATATCAGAAAGGAAAAACTGGGCAACCTTTCAGTCTCCCACCTTAAAACAGCAAGGCAGAGAGAGAAAAGCAGGTGTGCGCAAAAACTTTTTCTTGAACTTTTATAGGTTACACAGCTAGCAAAGACCGTCATTGCTATGGAAACATTATTTCATATCAAGCAAAGCTCATGACTTTCTCAGCATCTCTACAAACAAAGAGACATTACTTAGATGGATTGGAAAGAAATACATTTTAGCTCAAAGCTTCATTTCTCACATTTTAAGTTACTGGGAAGAAGACATTCTAAGTTAGTTACAAGCAGATAGATGCATTTTGCATTTCTCAAGTAGTTACTTTGCTAGGCTAAGATTGGCTATTCGCCCAGAAGTTTTTATCTCTGCAGTTGGCTCATCTCCCAGCTCAGCATAAGTTACAATGGGGTTCAGCAAGGAAATCAAAGATTGGGCCAGACACACACTGTATATGCACTCTGTTTATGCTCCAATCCCTTCACAATATTGTGCATATAATATTCTAGCCGCCGTCAAAACATGTACAATTAGATACATTATTTCCTTCTTATATTTTTCTGATATTATTCCAAGAAAAAAAAATCCAGTTTAAATGGAATACACTCCCTCACCGTTTATTCTATCCATGTTTGAATCAGTCTCCAATATTTTTTTGCAGCGTTGCAAGTCCACCACATGTGAAAATGCCTCTATCCATAATGTAATCCTGAGACAATTCAAATTTACTACCAATTGCATTTTCTTCTTTTATGTGGGTATGAATTATAAGCCCAGAAGAAACATTTGAAAAAAATTCAAGTAGATCAAGGGTGTCAAACTCAAGGCCCGCGGACCGCATCCGGCCCATGAGGTGCTTAGATCTAGCCTGCAGAGCTGCCCTGGAAACAGCAAAGGACTGGTCCACAATGCCTCTGTCAGTGAAAACAGAGCTCAAGAGAGCCATGTGCAGCCCTCCTGGTCCCCATTTTCAGCCACGATGGCTTCCTGCGGCCCTCTGTTAGCAAAATAGAGCCCATTTACACTGGCAGAAGGGTAGAAAAATAAACTAAAAACAAAACAAATTTTAATGAGAGTGAAGAAGGGTCTAAGGAAAGTCCTGCCTTAGCACTTGGCCATCACAGATGCCCCTGAAACAAGTGACCGCGAGCTGGCCATGCCCCCCCTGGCCACGACCCCACAACCCCCCCCCCCCCAGATCAAACACAATCCTGATACAGCCCTCAATGAAATCAAGTTTGACACCCTTGCAATAGATTATGTAGGTAAAAACCTTAGGTAAAAATATTTTGTATAAGTTCTTGCAATTATTATACATAGCAAAAGAATAAAAAACAGGGTCTTGGAATTAATAGATTCACATAGATTGTGTCACTGAGATTTACATTCTGCAACAATAGACAATCCTCCTTTCACAATGGAATCCTGGGAACCAATGAGATGATTGATGAATGAGAAAGAAGAGTTTGGCAAATATCTCACCAATCTCAACAAAATAGTGCTAAATTTATCAGGGGAGATTTAGAATATTGAGCTTTAATTAAAGAGTTTAATAAGATTATGGTATTGATGTTATTATAAAATTTATATTATAGTATTTGTTTGTAATATTTAGATTTATTGTTTAACTATGTATTTAATTATTCTGGATGTATTATTCAGTTAGAATGTACCAAGCAAAATCGGATTGGGTATTGGGTGTTATTTTAAAGATTAACTTGATTAATTTAGTGGGGAGATAGAAAGGCATCATACTCTGATTAGTGATTTCAGGAGAAATTTCTTTTTTTTAATAAGGAATGAGACAAAGGTACAATAAAGAATGGACAAAACATACAAATATAATGACTCAAATTAAGATGATTAATTAAGATAGAATTAAAAAGAGTGAAATATGGGGAGAAGTTAATATAGAAGACTTAGAATGGTAAATAAAATAAGTAATGATATGTAATATGAGCATGAATACAGTTGAAGTCCATGAAGAAAGAGATACCTGGGTCCAAGTTACTTTCCAAAAAGATTTTTTTTATGTTTTGTGTGTTGTGTATATATGTTTTTTTAGGGGGGGAGAATTAATGAAACCTTGCAGAAATATAGAATGAGAATAATGGTAACTAAGTCAGAAAGAAATAGATGAAATAATAATAATAAAATGGAATAAGAGTAAAGAGAAATAAAGAGAAAATGGATAAGAGGTTTTCGTATGTTTATATGGAAATGGTTTAAAACAGAATTATAGTTCATCTGACTTGTTAAATTTATAATGGAAAAAGGTTTAAATATGTAATGGATAATGATGACTTGTGTGTTTTGAAAATTAATAAA